TACGATGATCATTAAAAATGTTAATGTGTGGGCCTCCCAAACGAAACAGAAATTCGCAAACGCAAAGTGAAATGTTCAGAAATTATTTTTCCTGATCTAACTGCCCAAATAAGAAGTTTGACTTTTTAGAATGTCTGTATCTTTGTTGTGTACCTTTTGTTTGATAAGCGGATCAAAAGGCGCCTCACTCTTCAGAGCTTGTTCGCTTCTTCTTGTTGTTAAGTTGATCTGCCAGCCAGTTGATCCGTTTAGTTTGTTCGATGTGTAGTTTTGTTTGGCTGGATTGGATTAGAATCATTGCGTGATGTTTATCACTGGTATGCTGTGTCCTTTTACCCGCCTTTTGCTTTGTTTGTTTTGAATGAGTACCTGTCGAATTTGTCTTTGCGATAAATATCACCGTCTAAAGTAGATTTGAAATCGATGGCAAAGTGGAGGACTTAAATATTAATTTGACTAGATGAAAGGCATTCTACTTGTCTACAATTGTTGGTATTTTGAAGTTTTTCCAGCATTCTTTCAGCCGAAGAGTCTGTATTTGGCATTTCGTGCACATGGAGGTGATATCCACTTTTGACATAGCGCCATACAAAGGTCCCTCTTAATACCCTGACCCAGTTTTTCAACCTAAGTGTCTCAGAGCATAAACAACATAATAGCGGACATTTTACAAAGATATAGTTCCCATATAAGATTACCGTTGGAATTAAGGAATTTATAAGACACTCCACATGGCAGAGGTTCTAAAAAGTTCGGACACCCTGAACTTAAGGATATTTATACCATTCACCACACTGTGGTACAGGGTATTATGTCTTTGTGCATATGTTTGTAACAGGCAAAAGAAAACGAGATAGACACATGGTTCTTTTTGAGAATATGCATAGAATCACTTTCTGAGTCGATTTATGCATGTCCGTCCGTCCGTCTGTCCGTCTGTATATGTTAAATTGTAAACAAACTACAGGTCGCATTTATGATCCGATTTGGATGAAATTTGGCACAAGTCACTTATTCGGCCCAAGGACGAACCCTATTGAATATTTAACCGTTTTCATGTAAACGGTCCCTATATATCTTTCAATTTGCACGAAATTTAGTACAGCCTAATCATTTAGGCCTAGAATGATGTCTGCTAAGTTTCGTGAAAATCGGTCCAGATTTAGATATAACTCCCATATATAGTTTCGTCCGATTTCATGTAAATGGTGCACAAAAATCCCTATATATCTTTCGATTTGCACGAAATTTGGCATAGCGTACTGAACTGAGCCTAGAATGATGTCTGCCAAGTTTCGTGAAAATCAGTCAAGATTTAGATATAGCTCCCATATATAGTTTCGTCCGATTTTAGGTAAATGTTCCACCAAAGTCCCTATATATCCTTCGATTTGCACGAAATTTGGCATAACGTACTGAATTGAGCCTAGAATGATGTCAGCCTAGTTTCGTGAAAATCGGTCCTGATTTAGATATAGCTCCCATATATAGTTTCGTCCCATTTCATGTAAATGGTGCCCCAAAGTCCCTATATATCTTTCGATTTGCACGAAATTTGGCATAACGTACTGAATTGAGCCTAGAGTGATGTCTGCCTTGTTTCGTGAAAATCGGTCCAGATTTAGATATAGCTCCCTTTTATTATAGATTGATTTTAAGTAATTGACGCACCAAGGAATCAATAGGCTGACAGGAACAAAACGTTCTGAAATTAGTATAACCTAACCTGTGACAAGTTTGTTTGAAATCGCTTAATATTTGGATAGAGCTTCCATATATATTTCCGCCCGATAGTCCTGTTTCATATACCCATAGTGGTGAAGGGTATCATATAGTCGGCCCCGTCCGACTTTACTACTTTCCATACTGGTTTTACTTGTATTCTTGATGTGCGGGGAAATAATAAAATCATTGGGTGTAAAGTTAAGGTTGTACGGCGGATAACTCATCAATTACATGATTTGGCGCCCAACGAAAATATATTAAATGCCTTTGAAAAAATCACCTGACGTTCTTAGGAATTAATACTTTCTAAAAAATTACTTTAGTTTTTCCAAAAAAAATAACATAATGACCTCGGAAGTTTCTCGCCCTATCCGAAACGGCTGCAAGATGTTGTTTTATGAATATGTTTTGGCGCCCAAAAGAAAAAAATATATTGGTTGTATTTACCAAAAAACTACTGACAGAAAGTTCTTACAACGTTACCTATTATCCGACGGGGCGTACTAAAATATTCAACTTCCCCACTATGGCAAAATGTTGTGTACGGCCGTATTACCCAAATACGTCGAATCCACGAGTTAGTTGAATTTTAGGTAGGGCTGTTAGGAATAATTCGTTTTTAAACAAATGACTTTAGTTTTTCTAAAATATAAGTAGTTGACCTTGGAAGTTTCATCTTGAAATTTCTGCAAGATGTTGTTGTTTGGAAATCTGTTGCATCTATAGCCGCTTATGTCTTCAGAAAGCTCTTGTTTATTTCAATTCGCTAGCTACGATATTTTGGCGCCCAACGGAAATACGTCGTGGTGGCCTTCACAATATCATCTTAACTACTGACGACGATCTTGTAATTTATTACCAAATATTCATGTAATTGGCAGGAGGTGCTAGCATTGAGCATGTTCCAATGCTTCATATTCCGATAAGGATGACGTAGGAATATTATCGAATAAAAAAATCGTAAAATTCCCATTGACTTCTCGATTGTGAAAAATGGGTCAAAACATTTGTCAAAGCAGGCCTTTGGATTGCTTCAAAAGCATTTACTGGCAATGAAAGACTTTGATCACGCATATTTTTTCTTGATGTGCTGAAATCGGTCTTTTCGGCGGATAACCTAGCAAAACCTTGATGTGTGAATGTCCGAGGACTTAAGGCCAAAAAATAGCAGCCAGAATTGATTGAGTTCTCAAACAGATTGATTTCTCCACGCATACATGCTTCTTCCACAAAGAACTTTTCTTAGATAGGGTTCGTCTTCGAAAACCGTATGGGTCTATAGGAGCTCATACGCATAGATCCACGATTCGTTACTTGAATGAAAGAATATTGGTGCACCGCTTTCGCATTTCTAAAAATGTCTTTGCATTAAAATTCACGGCCGAGCGAAGAGAAGAATGCAACATTAGAAAAAAGCCCTTGCAGCCGAAGAGGTACCACAACAATTTACGAAGGAAGATTTTGCAGATGTCATCAAGAACGCCAAATCATACAAAGCGTTGGTCCCTGGCTGAATTTCAATGGTATGGCTTAATTAACTGGACGAACCTGAAGTCGAGTAATCAACCGCATAAAGTCTGGAAATAATACACAGTGGTCCCGCTACTGAAGTCTGACAAGAATACCAGCTGAAATTAATCATACAGACCGATTTCACTTTTGTCGCCAGAAGCGAAAAAACTTAAGGCGCTGCTCCTTCCATCGATGAGAAGCAGTTTTCCAATAGACCAACGCCGAGATGAATTCCGTAAAGTGCACAGTACTACAACAGCATTGCACGCGATTTCCACGCATATTAGTAGAGTACTGAACCAGAACGGATCGTGCAAACGAGCCCTTGAACTACCAAATACCTTCAATGCCAAACTGTTTGATGGCATAGAGAGGACCAACCTTCGACCGTATTTGAAACGTTGGATAATCAGTTACATGTATAAATGACAATGTTAGCCAAGTTGGGGTTATTTCTCCGGAGTTGTTCAACCTCTAACTTTCACATAATGTATATATGCGGATAATTGTAAAATTTATGTGATGGGAGAAATATCTACATATCTGGTCTAGCGACGAATATGAAAATATCCACAGACACACTGTTTGCCAAATGGACATCCGAAATGAAGCTTCAGCTTGAACATAAAGTTCGGTGGGTTGCTGATTTCGACCACTAACTACCCCAAAAGGTAGGATGTAACGTTCTACGGGCTTTTGAAGTCATCTGCCACTGTTATTTGCGAGTTGCTGGCCGGCAACACTTGCGTCGCTGACAACGAGACCCTGTTACCGGCCAAATTTAAGTGATAAGAATATGCCAGAATGCCACACTGAGAATTTCGACACTGATGAACATTCTTCAAAAGGACACGAATATCGTGCTCGTCCGTCGACACTATGAAATGTTGTCAATGCAGTACCATCTTGGATGTTATCATCGGGATTACACCTGACACAGTCAAGTCAGGAGAGATCTTCATGATCTAGGGAGAGAGAGGTCCAGGTCTGAGTTGAATTCATAAATTTAGCACAACTAAGACCAAAAACATGCCCAGTATGCGGACTAGGATCTAACGACACGGTGCACCTATTCCATAGATGTCTCCGAATTCCATAGGGGTAGGGGATTTAGAAATATACATAATCAATTTCCTTCTCACTAACTCACGGTATGTCACATGACGATTTGACATTATCAGTCGCGCATGCCATCAATGTTCTGTGGCAATTTGTGGTCCATTTGATAACACAAAATTTGAAGCGATCTTCAGCGGAAACTATAGGCAATAAACGGAACTTCATGCAAATTTACTTAATCGACTGATCTTCAAATGTAATCACCGTTATTATAAATGCTTCTTCTTCTTCTTTTTATTAAAATTAATAACAACCCTCATTAATGTACACTTACCAACACTGGACACCACAAATGACCAAAAGTCGATCTATTTACCCCTAATAAAAGGAAAACAACATAACTGCCCCATAAAACCAGCTACGAATTATTAACCTGTTAATTTATTAAATGATTTTACGAAAAATTCTTAAATGTTAGTTTTTTACAGTTTTGTTTGAATTGGATCATTATCATACAAAACATTCAATGTCAAATTGACAACTAGTTCCTTTCCTTATTCCAGTGAATCTTCAATTTGAACTAGTCCCCCTTGTGATCAAATGAGTTCAACAAATCAGCTGTCATCGATAGTGTAAACAAAAAGAAAATTTCTCTTTTGCCCATTAATCATTTTTACATGGCAATTTATAACAATTAGACAAAAAAGGCAATAATGTTAACGGCAAAAATTGGAAAAGTTAGCAAAGTGCTAATCTGTGGAGCTAAAGGTGTTGGTAAAACCACCCTACTGGAACAGTTAATCTATGGAAATATAACTTTGGATAGTGTATGTACCCAATCAAAGAAATAGTGATTTTTTTGCATATGGAAAACAAATCTCAGTACATTTTTTCTTCTCTGTATATAGGAAATTCATCCCACAATCGAAGATATTTATGTGGCCAGTGTTGATACGGGACGTGGTGGCCCCCGAGAAACTTTACGCATCTATGATACGGCTGGTTTATATCAAGGCAGTAAAGAACCCCTTCCACGACATTACCTCTATTTCCCTGATGGTTTTGTCCTCGTCTACGATCCGACAGATCCTCAAAGTTTAGATATGTTGGCTGATATTAAAGCGGATATCGATAAGAATAAAGAAAAGAAAGAAGTACCCATAATTGTATTGGCCAATATGCGTTCTAAACGTAAAGACACTCCACCATCACCCACACAACAGGCCCAAGCACAAAACAAACAATCTTCCGCAGCCGATCCAGTTGAATTAATATTAAATCGTGCCAATGCATGGTGTTCTCATGAACGTATTAAACATTATACTGTCAATGCAATGGAAAGGCCATCACTGTATGAACCATTTATTAATCTCTGTGCAAGACTACATCCTCCACAGACCAAGTCGACATTTCCTCAACTTCGACAAGTGATGCAAAAAACACAAAAAGCGGATGCATAAGCCTGAAAGGCTTCAATGTGACTATATGGAATCGTAAACATATACAAAATAGAACATACATTCAAATTATATGTAACGCTATACATACAGCCTGTTTTTGTAAAATTCCAAACGAACGAATTCGAGTGACTTACGACCAAACTCCTTGGTTTTGAAAAATATGTCATTTATTTTTGTTTTGAATCAGAAAACCTTTATAAACATAAATAAAGGTTTGGTCGTATGTCACTCGAATTCGTTCGTTTGGAATTTTACAAAAACAGGCTGATATTTTTAACATTAAAATTATTAGATTTTAAGTTTTTTTATTATTATTATGATAATGCGTTTTAAAGTATTAAGAAAATCTCTACAAAACATACATTCATAAAGATATATTTTTATAAGCAGATATAAAATAAAAATACTCCCATTTTACACAAAACTAACACACAAACATATGACCAATTATTAAAGAATATTAATTTTTATTTAATTGAAATATTTATTTATTTTTTATTTAAAATTATAATCTTAATTCTTTTTGAAGGGCGTCTTATATATAGTTTCAAAAAATTCCCAAACATTCTCAACATACGGAATGATATAGATATGCATTTATCTGTATCTGATCATCTCTGAAATTGCGATTAGGAAGTCGAACAACAAAATTACCGCAAAATCTGCTGCTAGATTTTTGCAGTACGGGAACAGAATATATGTTTAGGAAATTCTAGCAATAATAAGGGTGGCAGAATCAGTCAAGAAACTATGGGTTAGTGACTTGGGCCCTTTAACTATATATGTATGTCGATAAATTATAGACTAGTTCATGACGAACGAGGTTTGACAGTTTGTCGTGTGACCTTTTTAATATCCTGCTGGAAAAGGTCATACGAGAGGAAAGGTAAACCGAAATGGCACTATGTACAAAAAACAAAACATGTTACTCACCTACGCCGA